AAACAGTGTTAGCCAGGTTGATGGAGTCTCAGATATGGCACCAGCCTGACGGCTCTGTGGCTTTGTCAGGGGAGGGTTTAGAAAAGGGACAATGGCCTCTGCTCACCTTTCTGTCTGGGAGAAGGCTCTCCCCCAGCTCTCGCCTTGATGCCAGACTTTTCATTTTCTCCCTGTGTGCCACTGGTGCCTTTCAAGCTGGTACCCCAGTGCTGGAGCTCAGAGGGAGTGAGTCTGGCTAAGTCTGTGTATGGGTTCTTTAAGAGGAACTGCTTGGGGGTCCAGAAGTTTCTTCTGCCAATTCAGTCCCCACTGGTTTTTGGAGCCAGAAGTTATGGAGGCGTATCTTCCTGACACTGGAACTCTGGTCTGGGGGGCCTTCTGTGGGGCAGGGACTCCTTGCTCCCAAGATATTACTCCTGAATTTTTATGCACCACATGTGGATGTGGGGCCAGCCTGTCCTTTGACTCCACCCCTCGTACCAGTCTGGATGGCTATGGTTTCTTTAATTCCATAGTTGTCAGATTTCCATTCAGCTCACTTTCTGATGGTTCTGAGTGCTGGTTGTCCTGTATTTTAGCTGTAATTTGATGTGGTTGTGCAAGGAGGCGAGCCATGTTTACCTCTGCCACCATGTTGGCCGGAAGTGTTTTTATTGATCTTAGAAAGAGAGGAAGGGAGTGGGGGAAAAGAGAGAGAGAAATATTGATATGGGAGAGAAACATTGATCTGCAGTCTTCTTTATATGCCCCAAGTGGGGACCAAACCTGCAACCTTGGGTGTACAGAATGACACTAACCAACTGAGCCATCTGGCCGAGGCTGGAGTTCTTTTATCATCCATGTCTCAACTTTTGGAATGGGTGAGATATAGTTATAATGAACTTTTTAAATATTCTTGTTTGCTAATTCTAACATCTGGATCACTTCTGGGTCAACTGCAGTAAATTGATTATTCTAATTATGGATCATGTATTCCTGCTTCTTTGCATGCCTGATGGTCTTTGATTAGATGTCAGACATTGTAGATTTTACCTTGTTAGACTGGTTAGTTTGTGTTCCTATAAATATTCTTGAGAATTGTTCTGGGATTCAGCTAAATTACTTATATGTAGTTTGACCTTTTGGGTTTTGCTTTTATGATTTGTTAGGTGGGTCCTGAACAGTTATTCCACCTAGCTCATTATTCCCCACTACTGAGGTAAGACCTTCTGGAGTATTTTACTCAATGTCCTGTGAATGATGGGCTTTTCCTAGCCTGGCTGGTGGGAACAGGTGCTATTCCCAGTCTCATGTGGGCAATAGATATATCTCTCTAATCCTTTTGGATGGTATTTCCACAGACTGGGGTAGTTTCCTCATACCGAGGCTCTGATCAGTATCCTCCTAAACTGTACAGAGGTCCCTCTGCAGATGTCCAGAATCTCTCCCTGTAGAGCTCTCCTCTCAGGTTCTCTATCCTCTGACTCTGGCTACCTGGCTCCCCGCCGAGACTCGGCTCCATCTCCTCCCCACAGGCACCTCCCTGCACTGTGGCATGGAAATTCTCAAAACAGGAAGCTATGGTAGTCAGGTGAAGGGTTCACTTCATTTATTTCCTGTCTTTCACTATCATTCATTCCACGATGTCCAGTATCTTGAAAACTGTTGTTTCATACAAAAAAGAAAAAGAAAGAAGAAAGGAAGGAAGGAAAGAAGGGAGAAAAGAAGGAAACTGTCATTTTGTATACTGTTTTGTTTGATTTGTTGGTTGATTCAGTAGGAGGGAAATCTGGTCCATGTTTGAAGGGAGATAAAAGTCCTACTTAATAAACATTGATTAAACCAATCTTCTGAATTAACTCTTACCTGACCCTCTCAGATTCCTGACGGCTGGTTCCAGAACTGTGGTCACAATGGCTAGCACACAGTGGGCACACCATGTTTATTGAATGAGTAAATGGAAGAGTGCTTGAGCTCTGCTTTCTGATCCCTGTCCTTGTTCTCAGGGCTCTGCACTTGGCTGTGATTCATCAGCATGAGCCCTTCCTGGATTTCCTGCTAGGCTATGTGGCTGGCACTGAGTACTTGGACCTGCAGAATGACTTGGGCCAGGTGAGCCACTGGAGGACAGTGCAAGGCTTGGGGCCAGGATTCTCAGTGAAATCCCTAACCCCTGCACTCTGCTCCTGCAGACAGCCCTGCATCTGGCAGCCATCCTGGGGGAGGCATCCACAGTGGAGAAGTTGTATATGGCGGGCTCCGGATTGCACGTGGCAGAGCGTGGGGGCCACACCGCTTTGCACCTGGCCTGCCGTGTGGGGGCACACGCCTGCGCCCGAGTGCTGCTCCAGCCCCGCCCCCAGCGCCCCAGGGAAGCCCCCAACACCTACCTCACTCAGGGCCTGGACCACACCCCCGACACCGACCACACCCCTGTTGCCTTGTACCCCGAACCTGACTTGGAGAAGGAAGAGGATGAGAGTGAAGACTGGAAGCTGCAGCTGGAGGCTGAAAACTACCACGGTGAGGGTCCATAGTCCCTGAGAAGGGCCAGGTGACGGCCCCTGGCTCTGGGTTCAGCTCTCCTGACTCAACACCCAGTCCCTTGGAAAATAACTCTGAGGCTTCAGGGAACCAGACATTGGGACCAAAGACTCCCACTCAGGCCCCAGATTATTGAGAACTGGCCACAGGGGACCCAGGAACTCCACCTGAAGGCTCCAGATCACTTGTAACCCCACAGGCCAGAGCTCCTGGGCCAAATTCAGGTGTTGGGCCCAGTCTCCCTAGCTGGAAAGCACAACTCACCCTGGACACCACCCCCCCGCCTTCAGCCATGGGTCCCAGCCCACCCAGGATGATAGAACTGAAGGCCCAGGCCCTCTGTGAAATTCTGGCAGCCCAGATTCCCAGAGTTTGACACTGGAGTTCAGGGACAGGCTTCTTCAGCCAGTCCTCATGAGAAAAAAGACTGTCTACCCTGGGCCCTGGTGTCTGGGTCTCAGTTCTCCCATCTGTAAGTCCGACTGCCTGGGACCAAGTCCCTTCACAAGGGGACAGAGGTCATCCAGGACCCAGTCAGCGTTCAGGGCCTACTCCAAGCCTCCAAGCTTATAGTCTCTTCAACTACTCAGGACCCAGGAATTTGGGTCCCAGTTTCTTTGCAAAATAAGACCAGAGGCTCACGTCTCTTAGGCCCCAAGATCTAGGCCTCCTGTCTGTAGCCACAGGCTCTTTGGCCATTAGGCCCCAGCCATCCCACTGGATTCCCCGAGGCACTGGAATCTCCAGCCAGTTTCAGTCCATCTGAGACTTAGGCATTTACAACACAGGTGGCTCTTGGACATACCCAGGAATTCAGGAGCCAGACCCCAGACTCGCTCACCCTCAGGCCCTCCCCCATGATTGTGGCATTGGGTGCCCAAGCCCCTCACCCTCATCATCTGACATCAGTCACTCTGTCCCCAGGCCATACCCCACTCCATGTAGCCGTCATCCACAAAGATGCAGAGATGGTCCGTCTACTCCGGGAGGCTGGAGCTGACCTCAACAAACCGGTGAGCCTCCCTAGGGAGAAGGTGTGGCAGGATTGGGTTGTCCCCAGGGTGGGACAGGGCCTCCTCTGACCTCTCTGCTACACCCCGCAGGAGCCTACGTGCGGCCGGAGCCCCCTGCACTTGGCAGTGGAGGCCCAAGCAGCCGATGTGCTGGAGCTTCTTCTGAAGGCGGGTGCTGACCCTGCTGCCCGCATGTATGGTGGCCGCACCCCACTGGGCAGCGCCATGCTACGGCCCAACCCCATCCTCGCCCGCCTCCTCCGGGCACACGGTGCCCCTGAACCTGAGGATGAGGACGACAAACCTGGCCCCTGCAGCAGCAGTAGCGACAGCGACAGCAGGGATGAGGGCGTGAGTCAGGAGGAAAGACTGGACAGCCCAGCTTGGGGGCTCAGTGTAGGTGGGCAGGTAGAAAGGGGAACGGGAGAAGTTAGGCCAGACGTTGAGACTGAGCTTGGGCTGCTGCAATTAGAGAACTCAGGCAGGAGTGCAAGTAGCGTAGGTGAGTTGAACGGTGGAGGGTTGGGGGTGGCAGGAAAAACTCGGGCCGTGGTGGTTGGGAAATTAAGGCAATGGCAGAAGGCGAGCTCAGGCAGAGGAAGCGAAGAGACCTCGGTTATAGTGACCGATAAATAGGCAGCAGTGGGCTAGCTGCGGTGCGGGGAGAGCTTGGGCCGTGGGCAGGTGACCTTGGGCAGCAGTGATTCGGACACGGGCAGCAGTGGGGAAAGGCCTTAGCCAGCAGTGAGGATGTTTCTTTGGAGAACCCAGGCAGCTCCTTTGGGCAGGGAAGGATGTCGAATGCGGGGACTGAGGAATTTGGGTAAAGGCAGACGGAAGGGGTAGAGGAAGGAGACCTCAGTGTCTATGGCTGCTGAAGAACTGGAGAAGCAACCGGGCTAGAGCCCCAGCAGTAGCTGTGGGAGAACTCAGCTGACCTTGAAAATGGTGGGTGGAGAACCAGGAGCCAGGAAGTTGAACTACAAGGAGGAAAACTTGGGTTTCAAGACAAGATCCAATTTTTAGGGTGAGTGGGAGAAATTGGGCAGCAGGCAAGGTGGCAGCCACCTGAGCCCCTCTGTTTGGCCTTCTCTGCCCCTAGGATGAATACGACGACATCGTGGTCCACAGTGACCGGACTGCAAACCGGATACCTCCTACCCAAGCCTCAAAACCTCTCCCTGATGACCCCATCTGACTTAGTTGTTAATAGAATTTCCAATCTAATAAAATCTCAATTCTGACAACTAGAGACTAGATTGACTGTTGCCTTCTCAGTCTTCCGGTTTACTCCTGGGCCCCATCCCTCCAAAATTGAGTGCTACACAGTAAGTCTTGGTGGTTTTCTTTGTGCTTTATTCACTCAGAAGGGTTGGAGCGGGTTTGGTGGGTGGCAGAGTGTTTCCTGAGTCAGGCTGAGCCCGGCCCCGCTAGCTGGCACAGGCCCGGCCCCTCAGGCCTCGTTCCAAGGCCTTCCCCCAACTCCTACAGGCTGAGGAGTGGAGTGGGGCACCAGGTGAGGCGGGGGCTTTGGGGGTCAACAGTCCTAAGCGATGGGTGTGTCAGGAAGAAGGAGGACATGAGGTCAGGAGTCAGCCCTCCCTCCTGAGCTCCTGCCCCAGCACCTCCGCAGCCTTCTTCAGCTCCTCTCTCACGTGCTCCAGCTGCTCCACATCCTGCTCCTGGTGGGACCGGAAATGGGGTGGTCAGCACCCACCAGAGGGCGGTCACCTCCATGGCCACTCATGACGTGGGCCACGTCAGCTGGCATACTGGCAGCCAGCAGTGGTCATCCTGCGGCTGACCACAGTGGCTGCTATAACCAGGGAAGAGTAATGTTGGCCAGCATGACCAGTATGAACATTGGTGAAGTTTATGGTGACTGTCATAGCCAACAGCAGTAGACACAGGACTAGCAAAGGTGCAACTTGGATGTCATGACCCATTTGGGAGGTGATAGCCATTTTGGTTACAGCCACCAATCATGGAAACATCTTACTCTATGTGACCCAGCAATAGTATTCATCTATAGTTCAGTGAACCAGGCACAGCAGCCTATTCATGTGGCCAATTTGGTTGTCAGGGACTAGCAATCATGGCTAATTCAGACGCTTCTGTGCACTAATGATGGCTGTCCGGGTTACTGTAATAAGAATGGAAGCCATTTTGGTCAAGTAGAGGCCCTGCTTGGATGTTCCTCTCTGGTCCTGGTCACTGTGACCCATTCATGGTGGGTCTTGCTGTTTATGGCCCAACACTGGTAGCTGTTTGGTAGGAACTCCACTGCTGGGTCTACCCTGCTCCCCATTGCCTCCTTTGCTCACCTCCCTCTCCGAAGCCTCTTCCTTCTCCTCCTGTTTGGGCTCAGTTTCTGGCTGGTGATGGTGGTGGTGCAGCAAGGCCTTGTACCTCTCTCTTCCCCTGCCCTCTGCCCCCTTCCACAGGCTGTGGCCCCCGCCCAGCACCTGCATGCCCTTCTCCTCGGCTTCGAATTGGGCCGTCTCCTCGTCACTGGCCTGCTCTGCCACCCGCTTCTGGGGGCCCCCTCCATCCCCTAGCTGCTGCTTCCACAGGCTCTCGAAGGTCTCCATGGACCCTCTCTTCTTTTCCCCCTCGTCTTCCTCCTCATGGTCCTCCTCCTGGTGGAGCCTGCTGTGGAGCTGCTCACGGACTGCCTGTTCCCGCACTTCGGACTTGTGGATCTTCTCTGCTGCCTCCTCCTCGTCCTCATCCCTCACCTCCTGGCTGGACCTCATCCTCCCAGCCTCCCGCTTCTTGAAATCTCCAAGCAGCAAGCCTTTCTCCTCAGCGGATACACAGCTATAGGGTTCTGTCTCACACATCTCTGGTGGAAAGAGAAAGGATGTTTTGTGCAGCCAGTTGGGAAACATCTGGAGTTCTGGGGCCCACCAAAAACCCCACAGGGGGAGTGCCCAGAACTGGGAGAGGAGGGTCAGGTACTGGGGACATTGTCTGTCCCGCCTTCTGGGCCTTTGTAGGGAGTCCCAAGGGTTGGCTGGGGCCAGGCTGGACACGCTGGGAGAAGAGAGGGCATGAGGACATGCTGCACCAGCACCTCTGCCAGCCTGAAATAGAGCCCAAGCAGGAGGAGAAGGAAGAGGCTTTGGAGAGGGAGGCAAGTGGAGGAGGCAAGGGCGGGTTGGGGATGAGGACACCCTCCAGGCAGCCCCGGGCCAGAACAGCAGGTGGGTGGGAGCTTCCGGAGGACCTGGAGCCTGGGCCCTCCTTACCTTTCTGAAGGAGAGCCGTGCAGGGGCCTCGTTGGGCCTGACCCAGCGTCAGCACTTCTCTGACCACCTCTGCCAGACAGCGGGTCAGCTGGGGGTGAAGGGAACCTGAGGTTAGGGCAGGTGGAGGTAAGGAGAGCAGCTGCAGGGGAGATGAGTGTGGAGGAGGCTGGGCAGAGGGGGCCAGGATGATACAGGGCAAGGGGTCCACACTCCTTACCTCCTCCTTGGAGGGTCTCGGCTCCAAGGGCGCAGCGGAGGCTGTAGAGGAAGGAAGTGGGAACTGGGGTCAAGACCCCGGCGCCAAGCCCAGTCCTGATCCAAGCTCCAAGGGCGTCCTGGTACTCACAGTCCCCTCCCAGCCCACCTGCCAGACGCACTGTCCCCACTGGGAAACTCGGCCCATGAAGCCTCTCACCCGACCCAGCCGGGTGCACTGACCCAGGTCCTCCATCACCCGAGTCCTCGCTCCCCACATGGCCGCCGAGGTGCCCCTTCCCGGTTTCTGGCACTTACATGCCCCCAGCAGCAGCACCAGCAGCGGGGACAGCGACAGCACCAGCAGTGCAGAAGGTCCGCAGCGCAGCATGGCGGAGCTTCTCGACCAGGGTCCTAGCGCTGTGCAGACCAAAGCAGCAGCTCCTTTTGACCAGCGCCCCTGGCCCCCCGCAAGGGAGGAAGTGACATCACTGCCGCCCCCTCCTCGCCCGCGGCTGGACAACAGCTGCGGGGCGCCCGAGCTGCCTGAGACCCTCAATTATTCATGGGGACCCACGCCCTGCACCCGCTCCCCTCCTGCTTCTGGCGCCTCTGCACCAGCATGGCCAGGGGTTGGAGGGTAGGGAGGTTCCCCGCAGAAACAGGATCTGACAAGCTTAAGCCCTCGCTGGTAGGCAGGCCTGGGTTCAAATCCAGTAGCAGCCACTGACTGACCGACCTCATGCAACTCCTACCCTTCCTTGGCCTGGGTTTCCCCATCTGGAAAGTGGGTCTCAGCCTATTTCCTGAGGCTGCGGCTGGGCTCCTCCTGACTCCCAGCCCCACAGCTGCCAGTCCTGCAGTCCCGGGACGATTATTGCCTAACCTCTCTGAAGCCTGTTCTTCGTTAGTAAAATAGGGCTGGTGACAACCTACTCTGCAGGTGAGGCTTGACGGTGAGGACTTAAAAAAATGAACGTGTGTATAAGCTAACAGGCAGTACTGGGCATCGGCAACTGCGCAGGTTGTGGCACCTTCAGCCCTGTAATTTTTATTGAGCGCCTACTTCATGTCCAGCCCCCACCTAGACCCTGAGGCTGCTGCAGTGAAGGAACTGGCAAACTGCGCTGCCCTCTTGGCACAGACATTTGAGAAGTGGGTGGTAGGTAACACTTAAATAATCACACTTCCTCTAAGGAGGGAGGAGGGGACTGCGGTGTATCACTAGATGCTGGGAGTTTTACATTGTGGCCAGAAAGCTCGGGGATGTCGTCCTCTCTGAGGTGACACTTGGGCAGAGACCTGGTGATTCAAACGGAGCAATCACACAAGATCTAGGGGAACAGGAGCCAGGGAGGGGATGAGTGAGTGCAAAGGCTACAGCATGACAGAGGGAGGGTTGAAGAGAAAGGTAGGGAACATACTGCTTGGGCCTCGTGGACCACAGTGACCGCCGTGGCCCTTCCTGAGCGAGCTGGAACCACAGGCGCTCTGAGCGGGAGGGGAATGCCCTGATGCCGGTGTCCCGGTGCCCGTCTGGCCATGTGTTTGGGACAGGGAGCAGGGACACAGCAGAGGTTGCATGACTCTCCAAATGGGAAGTGGTGGTGGACAGGATCACGGAAGGGCCCGGGACAAGAGACAGAGGGCCGGTCCTGGGGATATTTTGAAGGTGGAGCCATGTGCAGAGGGACTGGATGTGGACGTTAAGAGGATGACCTGCAGGGCTGAGGCCAGAGACCTGGGGAAATGGCTCCATGTACTGCAATGGGCACACCTCGGGGAAGGGCAAGTTTTGGTCTGTTTGTCCTGCCTCCTGGCCTCCTACCCGGAGCTGGAGACCAAGGGGTGAGGCTGAAATAGGCCAGTGTGAGATGCCACTGTCCTAAAGGGGAGAGAACTTGGAATCCTCTCAGCTACCGTGGTGGCCCCCAAGCTACCATCCAGGTGCCCTGGGAGTTGCTGTTCCCTTCCAGCCATGGCCCCCACGGCCACGGCCCTTTGATGATTTAGCACTTCTGAGCCATTGCCCACCACTCTCCGCAAGCTGGCCAGGACCATCTCCCCACTCACAGATCCACAACTGTTGTTCTGACCATTTATTGGGGACCTTCTGCTAAGCACTGAGGTGGGAAGGGGGGAAGCAAGGAGGCGTGAAGGCCCCTCTCCTTCCCCCATTCCTAGGGCCTTCAAGTCCCCAGATGTCCTGCTTCCCAGTACAGGCTGGGGCTCCCAGTGACAACAGGGTCACTGACTGATTCTGAGGAAGGCGGGAAGGAGAGGTGGACCCTGGAGTCTACAGGCCCAGGCGTGGAGCTGACGTGAGGAATACAGAGGTCAGGACAGTCCCAGGACAACAGGTCCCAGGGATCCAGGGTCCCCTGAGCCCCAGGAAGCAGCAACAACCCTGGTGGCCGATGAGTCCTCAGCTCAAGACAGGCTGTCCTGGGAGCCTTGGCTTCTGGCGCTGGTTGGGTCCGATATACTGGAGAGGCACGTGGGTGGGCGCCGTGATCTGATCAGTGCCAAGGTAGGGCTGGAGGGCAGGTGGCACGAGGACCGAGCCGTCCTGGGGACAGAGCAGACCTCAGGATGCTGCCGCTGCACTAGCCCTCTGCCCTCTGCCTCTCTGGGTGCAATGCTTCGGCCCCCTCACCTTTTGCTGATTGCTCTCCAGGAGGGCGATGAGCAGCCGGGGGACAGCACAGGCGGTGGCATTCACCTAGGAGAGGCGTGCTCAGACGGGGGTCTGCTAGGCCTCCCGGGGAGGGGCTGAGATGGTGTGTGACGTGCATGGGTGTAGGAAGGTGCAGGAGTGTGGGCACTCACTGTGTGGGCAAATTGCAGCTCCCCAGCCTCTGTCTGGAACATGATGTGGAGGCGGCGGCTCTGGAAGTCTGTGCAGTTGGAAGCACTGGTGACCTGGACAGGCGGGTGGGGCAGACTGACTGGATCAGCTGTGGGGGGCAGGTGTCATCCTCCTTCCACCCTGTGTCCCCACTAGAGCGAGGGCTCACCTCGCCAAAGCGACCCCGGCCTGGCATCCAGGCCTCAATGTCAAACTTGCGGTAGGCAGGAAGGCCCAGTTCCTGGGTGGGCATGTCCAGGACCCTGCAGCCATGGAGAAAGACAGGTGAAGTTCAGGGTGAGGAGGAGAAGAGGAAAAATGGAAGTGATGGAGGAGAGGATAGCCAGAAAAGTGGGCAAGGGAACTAAGAAAGGAGAAGATAGTGGCAAAGGGGACACCTCCTTGAGGCAGGGAGTGGTGATGGAGAAGGGAATACAGGAGGAGGGACCGGAAGGAGCTGATGGGACAGGCGGCCGGGAAGGAGAAAGGGCCTGTGGCCAAATCTCCTGGCTGTTCACCATGGCCAGTCCCGCTGTCTGTAATAACGGCACCCCAAATTTTTGTAATGGATCACCCAGAAAGAGGTTTGCATTTCTGTGTCTTTTGAAAGCTACATGTGACTGACAGCAAGAAGGGACGTAGGCATCCGACACCCAGGGGCGTGTCCCCCTTCTCTTTCGGCTGAGAAGCCAGCAGGGACCACGCATAAAAAGCAATGCCCTAGGGATGGGGAGCAACAGGAAGGAAGGGGGCTGGGTCTCGGCCCTGGAGTTCGACCCTGTGCTGCTTATGCTGTGGTTACAATCCCATAACCCTAATGAAGACTTCTGAGAGTGATAGGCAGGGAGCCTATATATAATTGTAATACAGGGAAAAGAGGGCTGGGGGAGAAGTGGGGGAAGATTTTCAAAATGGAGAAGCACCAGCCCAGCATCTACCTCCTCCCTCCCCTCACGCTCCACCCCAGCTGCCCCCTCCGCACCGGAAGTGCAAGCCCAGCTCCGTTAGGATCTCCATCTGCAGGGACAGAAACTCCTCCAGCAGGTGTGAGCTCTGTTCCAGCCCTGGGCCTGTCACCCCAAACATCTCCACCTGGGGCAGAGCAGGAGCACAGAAGTCAGGAGACCCTGGGCTGTTGGGGTGACCCCCCCCAAAGTCCCTGCTATGCCAACCTTGGTGAAGTGGTGCACTCGATACAGCCCCCATGGCTCCTTCCCTGTGTCTGTTTCTGCCCGGTAGCAGGTACTGGAACAAACCATTCTGGGGGAGCAGGGGGATGGGGTCAGGTAGGGGAGAGGGAATGTCACAGGGAAGGTCAAGGTCTACAGGGACTGGGCATCACCTGATTGGCAGGTCCCTGAAGGCCACGGAGTGGTCCATGAAGTAGCCTGGGGGGAGAGAGGGACAGGAGGGGTCAGCCAGGGCCACCTGCCATCCACAGGAAACTTTTGTGAGGATTAGGAAAGGTATCCCCTCTGGCAGACACAGCCTCCTGTCGGGGCACGTGGCTGGACCCTCACTGTACTGTTTTTTGTGCAGTAAACAACCTGACAACTGTACACGTCGGCCCTGGGGTTGCTGAGGTATCCTGAGCAGGCAGCTGCCCCCCTCAGGATGCTCCAAGCTGTCCCCCTACAATTCCTCCTGCTCTGAGGACACTGATGGTGTACTCACCGCCCCTTATCCCAGGCAGGTGCTCACCTGCAAGCCCCACCTCTGCTGTCCCGGCCAGGCTGAGGTCCTCAAAGCGGGAGGGGTCAATGTTGTAAATTTGGGATGGGTTGGCATTTGGGGTCATCCCGCAGCCTTCCTGAGGAGGAGGAGGCCAACCCACAGAGGTCAGGGGACACATAGCCATGGCACCCCCCATTTTGCAGTCACAACCCCTACTTGTCCCTTAGAAGCATCTAGAATCGCCCTGGCCTTTCAGTTCTGCCCTAGCCCCTCAAGCCAGCCCCAGGACTATTTCCTCAGGGGAGACAGATTAGTCTCCCCGCCCGGGGCCCCCAGAACAGGGCCTGACACACAGCTTGGCATGGAGCACAGAGTCGTCACTCACAAACACAGCTCCTCGGAGAAGGTCTGGCACTGTCATGGGGGTGAAGCCCTGTGTGGGGGGAGAGAAGGGGTGAGAAGCACAGCTAGGACGCCCATCAGACCCCAAGCTCAGGCCTGAAGAAGGGACACTGCAGATGGGCCAATGGCACCCCCCTGTCACTCCAAAGTCCATCCCACTTCAGAGGAAATTGAGGAAGGCCCAAGCTGGGGGCTAGGGGTTGGCCCTGGGCCCTGGCGCCCCTGTCACTGGGACCCTCTCCTGATGCTTCATGGCTTCCACACTCAAATCACACCACACTGGGCAGCCAGAAGTATAGTTTCATCATAACCTCCCCACACCACCCCCTGCTTAAATAAAGCCTTCCATGGCTCCCAGGGAAGGTCCGCGTCCCTCACCATGGCCAACGCCCCACGCATTCAGCCACTGCTGACCCCTCCAGTTTCAGTGCACACTGTTTCCCCAGCACTCCCTTTACATGGCAGGC